AACTCCTTGTCATAGAAGATAACATATTATTAATAGATAAGGTCACCTCTTGTCAAAGTCTTCGGACATTTTTTTAATGGGTAAAAAGTATTGAAGAAAGTAAATCAGAAGCATAAGTAGAAGTTATTACTCAGAACTTTACCATGAACTTAGGGAGTAAACAATTTCATTTTATAGGTGCTTGGACCTGCAATCAACACCCTTAGTACTAGCAGTCAGGAGATCAGGAGACATAGTACTGTGGGTATGTCTGCTGTCAGGAACCTCTCCAAAATAATGAAGAGCAATGATATCCATTTAAAGACTTAGGTGCACCTGATTCAAGCCATGGTTTCTCAATTATTTGCTCTTCATTTGAGAGTTGGACAATGCATAAGGATGACAGAAGAAGAAATGATGCTTTTGAGTTGTGGTGTTGGAGAAGAGGGCTGAATATTACATGGGCTGCCAAAATAACGAACAGGTACATTTTGGAAAAGGGCAAACAGAGTGCTCTTTATAGCCAAGGATGGGTACATTTTGTTGCTTATACTTTGGACATATTGTTAGGAGACGCTATTCCTTGGTAAAGGATGCCATGCTTGGAAAGGTAGAGGGTCAGTGAAAGAGAGGAAGGCTCCCCCAGTGAGGTGGATTGACACAGTGACTGCAGCAATGGGCTCAAGTGTGTCAGAGACAGTGAGGCCGGCAACAGAAACAACCCTATGTTGTTCACAGGGTGGCTATGAGGCACACAGGACTCGAAGCCATCTAACAATAACACACACCTACTCCTCACCACTTTGTTATCCAACATCTCGCATTTAGTTGGTTGTGAAGAAATCTACTATCTGACTAATTGTGTGCATTAACATGTAACAAATGACAAGGAGCAAAAAGAGATCAATGCAGGATAACTTGGCTGGACTGTCACTATGTAAAAACAAGATTCAGGGAGATTTTGTGACATAGCCTCCAGGAAGCTGTACTGATAACCTCAAGGCTGCACTTCTCTGCTGGTTTGAATCCACCAGAAGCTCCTTGGGAGAAAGATTAGTAATCTCCTCCCGCGTGACTTCCAGTACTGGCGATTCCTTGGCATAGCTAAATTGAGGGCCAGCTAGGAGTCAATTCTGATTTTCTATGGCACTGAGAAAGAATGAAAAGAAAGAGTAAATTTGGCAGGTACATAATAATGCCATCAAGCTGTGATCTGATGTGGCCAACCTCCATTTTCACCTAATGACAATTTTTAGTCAACAGTCTGGTCTTTAGAACGTAACCATATTGTTAAGTGTCGAGTCAGTGCATATTAAATTCACTGGGAATAATTCTTAGGATTCTAAGAACGGTAGTTTCATATTTTTCTCTTTGAAACCTGAAATAGTAGCATATCCAGAAAGAAAACCCCAATTTGTACTGGCCTCCTGATTCTGTGAAAATGAATTTTTTCTTCTGTTCTTCAGTATTTCATTAATGTAAAGGTGCATATTTATTTTGAGAATCAGCTCTCAAAATAATATTTGGAAAGCTTTTTGAACTTCGTGGGGCATTTATCACAACAGTCACAGAAGGATTCTGTCCACACATTTTTCTTCACAAAACTCTTTTCTCCAATAAATTTCTTCACCATCATTGCCTCTTGCACTCAATTTATCTTTTTGGTGAGGCCTTTTTCTAAATATGAAAAGTATGCTTATAACAGGATATTTGGATACTAAAAGAGAAAATCATCAATGAGCCCATCAATTTTTACCTCTTAGATTATGATGACATATTTATAACCTGGACAACATATGCCACTTCTTTTTTTCAGTGCTGGGAAGAATTTTCAACATAATTCACTCAAGTTTTTGATAAATTTCATTAGCATACATGGAGCATTTCATGGATAATCACATACACTGCTCTTCCCACACAATCATCTCTACAAACTCACTGGAGGGTCAGCTAGTACTTGGTTCTGACTCAACAGCACATATTCACTTAACAATTGTTATGAGAAAATCAATACAGGTAGATGAGACAGGAGAACTGGGAAATTAAATGCTAGCATAATTTCACTCCTCTGTAGGTGCGTCTCCTTTATAAAAATCATCTTAACAGATGTATTATTGTTGTTGTGTGCTGTCAAGTCGCCTGCAACTCACAGCAATCCTGTAAACAACAGCTCTGAACCCTGCTCTATCCTGTGCCAACCTGATTGCCTCTGATACATCTACCCCTATTACCCAAGTCACAGAGTCAATCCATCTCATCCAGGGTCTTCTTCTCTTGTGCTGCCTCTCCTCCCTCCCATGCATGTGGTCCCTCTCTAAGAACTGGTCCTGTCTTGCAACATACCCAAAGTATGTCAAATGAAGCTTCAGAATCCTTGCCTCCAATGAGCAGCCTGGCCTCACCCTCTCTAGGTTAAATCTGTTTGTTTTGCTAGCAGTCCATGGTATATTCAATATTCTGCTCCAGAATCATAGCTCAAAAGCATCAATTCTCCTATTATCTTTAGTCGTTGTCCAACTTTCTGATGTTGTTGGTGTTCATTCCCATCAAATCGAGCACAACTCATAGTGACCTTATGAACAAAAGGCCTGAAAGCCTTTCTATAACTATTCTCATTTATCAAAGTTCATAGAGTTTCCAGGGGCATGTTGTTTAGGAAATGGATGCTACTCCTGCTTCCAAAATTTTCTGATGCATAGAACATAATTGTGAAGACCATGGACTTTATAATTTATAGTCTTATTTAATGGTATAATGTTTACATCAAATAAAACAATTAGATATTATGATCTCTGATTTACAAACTAATGTCTGAAATGACTCATTAGGTGATCACATGAGAAATCAAAAGACAAATTGCTCTGGGGAAGGCTGCTGTCAAGGACACTCAAAAGTGTTGAAGAGCAACAAAGTCAGGTTGAAGACTAAGGTACACCTGATCCAAGCCATGGTCTTTGCAATTACTTGCTATGCATCAGAGAGCTGGACAATCACCAAAGATGACAGAATTGTTGCCTTTGAGTTGTGGTGCTGGAGAAGAGTCTTGAACATATCATAGACTGCCAAGAAAGCAAATAGGTCTGTTTTGGAGAGGGTGAAACCAAGTTTCTCCTTGGAGGCTAAGATTTTGAAGCTCTGTCTCATATACATTGGGCACGTGGCCAAGAAGGATCAGACCTTGGAGAAGGACATCATGCTTGGAAGGGTGGTGTGACTGTTCAGGAGAGGAAGACCGGGGATGAGATGGATTGACACAGTAACTGGGGTAATGAGGAGAGATGTGTCTGAGACAGTGAGACTGGCTCAAGATAGAGGAGGGTTCAGAGCTGTTGTACATACGGTCGTTTTTAGTCTCAGGCGACTCGATGACACATAACAACTTAGAGTACACATTACAAAGGTTAGTTAAAAAAAATCCTTGAAGAAGAATTGCAAAGGTGTGGGCATGCTCATTTAGACCTTTTATTCCTATTTCATACTCAACAGGAGTGCTTGTATATGATAGTGTATCAAAATGACTCAAAATTATTGCATCTGTGCTAAGCTAGTTGAGTTCTCATTAGACTTGCATTTTTAGTTTCTTTTCCTAGTGTACAGCTCCGGGGCCAACTGACCCTTGTCCTTTCTTTTAGTCTAACTTGAAAAACTACATAAAGACTAAGCAGATGATGATCCTTCCCCTTAGGTTATGCATTCCATCAGCATAAGCAATCTTTAACCTAATTAAGTATTGGGAGTTGTTTTTGTGTTTCATCAAGTCAAAACCAACCCATAGCTAACCCTCTGAAGTCTTTGGTCTGTCTGTGAACACAAACCTCGGGGAGTCTTCCCTCTGAGGTGCTAACCCCCCACAGCTGGTGTCGCTCTGTTTGTTTAGTGTACTGGATACACATGATATTCCATTTGTGTCCTATTCTGTATGTGTATTACAGAAACGAAAGCCACTACCCTTCGGTAGAGTCTGGCTTACATTAAAGGACAGAGAAGAAAAGCTATTTAGAGTTTCCAAGACTGTAAATCAAACGGCTTGTCTTGGCCCAGCAAGACAGCTAGTGGATTGAAATTGTCTAACTTTCAACTAGCAGCTCAACGCTGAATCCACAACAACTCTCTGAAAATTATATTATATATACACCAATAAATGACTGGAAATCCAGAAGAACAAAAAGTATATTATATATTATAAATTTAGTATATTCTGTGGGGTCTATTGGGCCTGGAATAACAACAAATAGTTGCAATCTTACCTGAGAGAAAACTGAGAAATGTATAAGCATTTAAAGAATATGTAAATCACTATCTCTTAATGCAGAGATTAAGACTATTACTAAGCGTTTTGTGTTATTCTAGTTTTTTTGAGCCACTGAGCAAAGGCTCCTACCTCTCCCCACCCTTCTATTTACACACAAATTAGGCTTAATTAGGCTCCTTGCTATCTCGTTTTGCTGCTTTTAAAAAAGGGATTCACCATTGCTCTAACACATTTCATCAATTCCCCTTTGTGTTTAGGGTTGGTTTGGGGTGGGTTTTTAAAAAATCTTTTCTTCCTGTATTGGTCCAGGTGTGGCTAATTCTTGTGTTTTTTGTCTTGTTTATATTAAATAAATTCTTACAAAATCAAACCACACACACCCCATCACACATCGAGTTACACCATCACCCATAGAATTCCCAGGCTTAGCGCATCGGGATCTAGAACATTCTCTATCGTTTCCTGCAGAAAAAAATTGCTCCGCTTTAAACGGCCAGGCACGGTGTGAGGAATCCCGGGTTACGATGATCTGCAGCGCGTCTGTCTGTCTGTCTGTCTGTATTATTTGGGTGGTGTTTTAGTGGATGGCGTGGGATCGGGGGTGAGGAATCTGCAGCTGGGAAGGCGGCCGGGGCGCCCGCGCCGCCCCATCCGGGCGGCTCCATCCCGGGGGCGGCTCCACAGCGCGGCTCGGTTACCATGGGAACCCACGGCGCGACGCCCGCAGACTAGACTGCAAGTGAGGGGTGAGGGGTCCCGAGGCCCAGCCATGGAGCTGCCCGATCCGGTCCGCCAGCGGCTGGGCAACTTCAGCCGCACCATGTTCAGCGACTCGAACCGGACCGGGCCGGAGAACGACGAGGGTCCGGGTGAGTGGCCAAGGCCCGGAGCAGGGGGGTGTGGCTAGCCCCGGGCCGGGCGCGGGCTTTGGAGCGGCCCGATTGTGCCCTCATCTAAGATGGTGGTTCCGCCTTCAGCGGCGACTCCGTGATGCGGCGCGCGCGCCCTTCCGAAAAGGGCCGGGCCGGGCCTGACACGGGAGCGGCGTGGGGCTGCTCGTGCTCGGGCCCGCGGGGCGCGCTGCGCGCGCGCAGCACATCGCCCTGGACCTTGCGGGAGGCGAGGTGGTCGATGCCCACCCGCGCCTCTGCCCTGGCCCACCTGAGTCACCCCTGCCTCCGCTCTGGATTTGCTGGCCGGAATCAGGACGTCCGCCACCATCACTACCTCCCCCAGACTCCTGTCAAAGCCCCTCCCCTTTTCTCTTCCCCCAGCAGCCCAAGCTCCCTCCTCTGCAAGGCTGTCTTTCCACAGGAAGAAATGGGGGAAAGTATTTTGTAATCAGTCATTATAAACCACTCCAGAGTGACAGCTGCCTTCAACAAAAGCTCCTTGCCTGGAGAAGTCCTCTATCTGAATACACAATATAGATTGATAGCTCTTTTCCTGAATCTAGTAACAAAATTTGGAAGCAGGAGTGGCTCTCATTTTCTAAACAACGTGCCTCTGGAAACTATGATATATGTAGATAGTTATAGAAAGGCTTCAGGCCTTTTATTCATAGAATCGCTATGAGTAGACTTGGCAATCAACAATAACAGTAGTAAAATACCAGCTTGCCACATTCAACAGGATGGCAAGTGATAACTTGTCATTTCCTCCCCAGTCCTGATGTTAGGTAGCATACTTTCCGACCAAACTCTTGGCGTTTTCATCACTCAACTCTGCTCAGAAGTAGGCATCTTCCACTTTTAGGGATTTTTTTTTTTAAGTAAAGGGTCAGAAAACAGTCCTATAGTTTTATTTCTTCACCTTGATTACTTGTCCAAGTTTTCAGCCTCTTCCTAATTTAGGTAGTCCAGAGAAGACGCATAATGGGGAAAAAAATTTAGTTGTTAAGCTTCTGATTCTAAAGCAGGGTGAACAGATTCTGAAGGTTGTGATTTAAACCAGGGGTGAGCAAACCTTCTCCAGAAAAGGCCAGTTAAATTGATGACCGTGCTTAAAAACATGTGCGGGAAGGCAAGTAGCCGTCATTTGCGGCACCATTTGATAAATGTTTCAGGCTTTGCAAGCGCTCTGTGTCTGTAGCAGTGACAGTAATTGGCATGTTGTTGTTGTCTAGTCCAGTACGACTCATAGCTACCCTGTGACCAGCCATCCTGATCCCAGCCCTGTCCTGTGTAATATCTCTTGAGACCCTAAAGCCCATTGCTGGTCACTGTTTCAAGCCATCTCATTGGAGGTCTTCCTTTCCTGACCCTCCATCTTTCCAAGCATGATGGCCCTCTCTGAGGCCTCGCTACATGTCCAGAGTATGGAAGATGAAGCTTGGTAATCTTTGCCTCCAGGGAGCACTCTGGCTGCACCCTTTTCAGAACATATATATTTGGTTTTTTGACAGTGAGTAGGTTTTCCTCTTTAGACATCTGGAATTTTAACTTCATATGATTTTCATGCAACATGAGACATTATTCTTCAATTTTTGTTATATATTATTAATGTATCAAAAGGAATTGGAAGACACAGAAGAATTTCATGAAACGAAATATGAGCAAGAGCCTATGGTGATGAAAGAAGAAGTTCAGGCTGCTTTGAAGGAAATGGCAAAAAATAAGGCTCCAGGAATAGATGGTATACCAATTGACATATTTCAGTTAACAGATGCTGCCCTGGACGTGCTCACCAAGTTGTGCCAAGAAATCTGGAGAACAACCACTTGGCCAACTGACTGGAAGAGATCGATATTTGTTCCTATCCCAAAGAAAGGTGACCCAACAGAATGTGGAAACTACAGAACAATTGACAAATAGGAAACATATGGTATAGCACTTGTCTGTCCATTTGCTGTACAGAGGTAACTTGTGGTTGGTGTGATGCTGAACACTGTGTCACTGGTGTATCAAATGCAGTAATGGTTACCCGTGATGGACAGTGTTTGGTGGAGCTCCCCGATTAAAACAGGCTTGGCAGCAGGAGTGGCATCCGCTTCCAAAATAGCTTGCCTCTGGAAACTGTGAATTTGGGAAGATAATGAAAGTTAAACAGGTGTTAAGGTCGTTCGTTCACAGGGTCGCTATGAGTCGTCTACAACTTGATGGCACTTAACAACACAACAGCATCCCCACAGCCAACATTTAAACACCAGCAAAATCATATCATGATTAATGTCACCTTCACTGTCAGGGATTTAAAAAGAAACATAAAATTTGGAGTTTTGTCGACCTGTGCTGTAGTTTTTAATTCTAAGGAATCAAAGGATTTGTGGTATGTAAACAAATTAATAGTGGAAGTTGTGTCTGAAGAAGGTTCCAGAGGAATATTGGTTTAATATTCCAAACAGGAAAACTTTGTGGAGTTCTCCATAATGATCCTAAAATTTTCTTGTAAATTCACTTACTGTTGTTACTATTGTGTCTTTGTTGTTGTTATGTGCTGTCGAGTCGTTTGCGACTCATAGTGACCCTGTGTGCAACAGCCCTATATATGCTGCTCTAACCTGTGCCAACCTTATTGTCTCTGACACATCTACCCCCGCTACCCCAGTCACTGAGTCAATCCATCTCATCCAGGGTCTTCCTTTCTTGCGCTGTCCCTCCACCCTCCCAAGCATGACATCCCTGAGGACTGGTCCCTCCTTGCAACATGCCCCAAATATGTCAGACAATGCTTCAATAGAAACCATTGATTTATGTTTTCCAATCTTTCCTCTCTGTTCTCTTATAGATGAAGACATGGTCTCCAGCTTGGCGCTGCAGATGTCGCTGTATTTTAACACCTACTTTTTCCCACTTTGGTGGGTGACCAGCGTGGTGATGCTTCATATGAAGGTGAGGGTCGGCTTCACTCACCATCAACGCTGGGGTCTCGGCCCGTCCCTGACACCACTACACTGGCAAGAAAGTGAAGGTCCCGATTATTGCCTTCTACGCCCGCTGTGTTTAGCAGTATGTGAGATCTTATGCACGTGTTTGTGTTTGTTTTACAGTATTCAATCTTGCCTGACTACTACAAGTTCATTGTGGTCACTATTATCATTCTGGTCAGCTTGATTGAGGCCATCCGCTTGTACCTGGGCTACATGGGTAACCTGCAGGAGAAGGTAGGTGCTCCCTTATTTTCTGTTCATCTGCTTGTCAATTCAGTAGAGTTTTCACAGCAAGGAGAAGGCACTGCCAGGTGGTGTGAAAAGTAGGACCTGAATTTAAACCCCGACTTTAATATCTCTTCTTTTATCACTGAGATCAGTTTGCTTAAACTCTCAAAACAGTGTTTCCTCACAGCTAAAATGGAGGGGGGTGGGGAATATTACTTACCTCACAGACTCACCGACGTGTTGGGGTTAAAACAAATCATTTATATAAAATAGCTAGGCCTTGCAAGCACTTATAAACTGACACTTTTTCCTTGTCTCTTTCATGTCATTCTTGAAAATAAAGTCAGTAAAACATGGTTGTTTCCTGAGTAAGGATATATTATAAACCAATTTCCCATCCCAAATACAGTGACTCTTTCTCTGCGTCATCATGTGCTTGGCATTTCTTTTAATCAGAGTTTAGGGCTGATGCCTAAAGGTTTCTGCGGCTTTTCCAGGCTCTTCCTAATTAGGCCGCACCCAGCTCGTGTTCCTGCGTCTCCTGCTGGTTCCTGACCTGAGCACTCATTCCAGGCGTTGATTGCCTCGCCTGCTCCTCCTGCATTTTCACTTACCTGCTTTCTTGCATCTTCCTCCTCTGACCCAACTTTAAAGGCCCATATCCTGGAAGTTTCTCTTTTCACTTATCCTAACCGTCTTCTTGTTTTCTTTCTCACAGCATTTAGTCTGCCTTCTGAAGCTTGCATTTATGAGGTTGTTACACGACTCATGACAACCCTCTGAACTACAGATCAGAACCTTACCCTCCCTCCCTGAGCTGCCAAGTTTGCCAGTTGGCAGCCGGACACATTGTGAACCAGGGCTCCTTGAATAGAGCATCCTCACGTGTTAGCCCAGGTGTGCTAACCCGAGTGTGCTAACCCGGATGTGATAACCCAGGTGGCTCCCTAGGGGCAGAGCAGAACTGTCCCATGATGTTTTGATTTTTTTTTTTTCCCTGGGAAGATAATTTTATCCTTCTGAACAGAAAAGTTGGTGTGTACATCAGCCCAGTTTGGTGGTGAGTTCCTTGGCCTTGGCCTTCTGCGGCTTGGCGAAGCGGGCCCCGACTTGGACCCCAGGACGTTGCCTCCCCAGTGGTGGCGGATCTCATCATATCCGCCCTTGTAATTGGTCCTGATGGCTTCCACCAGCTTCGCCAGCGCACCTTTGTCTTCCACGTTGACCTACGTGGTGGAGATGCAGGTCTTCTGATGGACAGGGAGGCCCAGCCTGGCCCTGCCCTTGACAGTGTGGTAGGGAACACCCATCTTATGACCCAAGGCCGAGGGGAAGACCACCAGCTCGATGGGGTCCACATCGTGTGTGATCACCACCAGCTGGGCCTTCTTGTTCTCCACCAGGGTGGGCACAGTATTCACCCCTGCACGGAGGACAGGGGTTCTTGTGGCCAGGGCGTCTCCTTTGCCAGCAGCCTTCTTCTCAGCCCGGGCCAACAGCCTCTGCTGCTTCTCCTGCTTGGTCTCCAGTGGGGCTTGTAAGTCAGAGTCAGCAGCTGAGTAGCAGTGTGGGCGTCCCAAGGCCTGAGTGAGCTGGTTAACGGCAGGTTGTACCTTGGATCATTGGTAGAGGATTGCCCTTTGCCACTGGAGACGGATATGGTGAGGCCATTTGACAAAGTGGGTAAGGTCCCTTTGGGGTGGGATGTCCTCCCCCATGCCAGAGTTCTTGGGCCTTTTCTCAATCCGGGGATTCAGCACCTTCTTGACCATGGCAGGTGCGGGGACCACCTTCTTGTCTTTGGCCTTCCTCCTCCTTGGCCTGCTGTCCCTTCGGCATCTTTGGGCAGATGGATGGAGCCTGTAATCTTTGTGGAAGCATACAGCCCCGTTGTTCTCCCACAGAGCAGCTGGTGGTTGGAAGTTGCTGTTCCTTTGTTTAACAGCATAACCGCTGCACCACCAGAGCTCCTTCCAGGCTTGCGTTTGTGATTGGTGTTGAGTGCTGTTGAGTCAGCTGCCACTGTGCACAGCATTTGCCCAACCTTGCAGCCTCCCCATTCTCTGAGACGCTTGAGCCATTGTTATAATCACCACGCCAGTCCATCCTGTTGAGGGTCTCCCACTCTTTTGCTGACCTTCTGCACGAGGTCTTTTTCCATGAACTAGCCCCCTCCTGACAGCACACCCAAAGAACGTAAGGTGATCTTTCACTGTCGTTGCCTCTAAGGAGCACACAGGCGACACTTATTCCAAGACATATTTGCTTGTTCTTTTGGCTGTTGTTATTGTATGTGCTTTTGAGTCGGAACCGACTCAGAGCTGACCCTCCAGCAGGTGTTCAGAGGCAGAAAATTGCACAGGAGTTGATTACCCATCTTCACTGGAGCAGCCGGTGAATTCGAACCTTGTGCCTTTGGGCTGGCAGTGCAGCTCCTTAACCTTTTGGCTATCAGAGCTTCCTTCTTGTTTGTTAGGTGCCGTGAAGTCAACTCTGCCTCCTGGCAACCTGGTTACGTGGCCGTCCATGGTATAGTCAATGCCCTAGGATTTTTTCTTAGAAGTTAGTTCTGACCCAGCGGGCCTGCAGCTTCTGAGAAAGGAAGTAGGTCGTACTTCTTTTGAATGGCTGTAGATCCTGACCCGATGAAGGCTGTCGTGATGTTGAGTTCTTGCTTTTCTCTATGAACACAAGACTGTCCTTTATTGATGTTGCTTCTCTCACTGTGTGTCATTGCAGGTCCCCGAGTTGGCTGGCTTTTGGCTTTTGAGCCTTCTGTTACAGCTGCCTTTAATTCTTTTCTTGCTCTTCAATGAAGGCTTAAAGAGTTTGCCAATGGAGAAAGCGGTGAATATCATCTTCGTCCTCTTCCTCACTTTCCAAGTAGTCACAGCCTTTCTTACCTTGAAGAAAATGGTAAATCAGCTGGCGACCCGCTTCCACCTCCAAGACTTTGACCGGCTCTCTGCCAGCAGAGGGGACACGAGAAGGATGAGGTCGTGTGTAGAGGAGATTTGACCCAGTGCTGTTGAGTGAAAGATTGGCATGATTCTTCTAGAAGGTTGAGAGAGGAAAACATCCGAGATCTAGCATTAGAAAAAGGACAAAACAAGAATTTTGAGTTGTACACTCTCTTGGTCTGAAATTCCAAGATGGCGGGGCTTGGTAAGGCTGTTTACACGTACCTGTAAGCCTGAAACCTAGATGGGGTCCACTTGATGCCAAATAGCTTAATTTTTTTGTTGTTGTTGTCATTGACTTACAGATGTGTAAACATTTGTCTCTTGGTGACCCCAATTAACCAGTTTTATTACATTCCTTCGAGGGTTGCTATGAGTCGCAAACGACTCGACGACACATAACAACAACAACAACAATTTATTATTGTGTACTGTCGAGTCAGAACTGACCCATATCTGACCCTCCAGAAGGTTTTCACAAGCAGTAAAATCACAAGAGGAGAATGTCCACCTTTCTCTCACAGAGCAGCTGTTCGATCCAAACTACATGTTTGGGGCTTGGCACCTTGACTGTTAAAAGTCTGTTGGTGGTCCCCACTTACTACGTTTTTTTTAATATCCAACTCTAGTCAGGATCAGTAAATGCCACTTTTTTTTAAACTCATCTGTTAGCCACGTCTTGGGAATACCTGCAGGTGCAAAAAGTTGGAAGATCCACTAACCCAAATATTGGAAGTCGGAAGTGGAAGTCCATGCCAGAGATGTGGCTGAGGAAAAGTTTGACTGTTTGCTTCTGAAAAATGAGCCATTGGATGACAGTTCTATTCTCACATACATGGGGTTTTCAGGAGACGTTATCTGCAGAACAGCAGCTGGTGGTTTTAGCTACATCCTGGCGGTACCCCTGCCTGTGTTTCCTGTAGCTTATACAAGTTAGCTGTCAATATTTTTGTGTTCTAAGCTGCATTTTAAAACCAGGAACTCAAATGTTCATGGCTGCAAGGGTTAGATTCTAATCCTTGTTTAGCAGTTATACTGAGGTGAAGAAGAAAGCCGGTGGGTTATCATGGTACTTGGAAATCGTTTTGTCATGGCATTGTTACTTTCGTCAAACCATTCTCAGTGTTTATTGTATTGCTGAGCAAACATTTTTGTACTATAAACGATAAAATATTTATGTATGAGAAACACATCAATTTCTGTCTTGTGCATTTTCTGTTGAGCTATGGGTTTGTTATTTTAGGTTAACATTCATTCTTGCAAGAGTAGTAAGGAGAAAAAGCCCACAATTAGTAAAATGTTTTGGCCACAGTATTAGACATGTTGTTGTTTATTGCCGTCAAGTCGAGCACAACTCATAGCAACCCTATGAACAAAAGGCCTGAAGTCTTTCTAGAACTCTCATCATTTATCAAAGTTTATAGACAGTTTCCAGAGACATCGGTTTAGGAAGTGGATGTCACTCCTGCTTCCCAAACTAGACATGTTAACTGATCATAATTCATGGAAGAAGTGCCTCATACCAAAGAAATTCACTAGATGCTTGATATGAAAACCAAAAACCTATTGATCGCCTAGTGAGAGCTAAGACTGCCAAACGGGCCATCCTCACCATGCTAAATTCACATATTTCCTTGATGACACAGGGAAACATCTTTACTGAAATTTCATTGATAAAATTGGATGGATAGAAATGACTGTTGGGTGTCTCAAAGGGGTGTAGTATTTTGACCACCGGTTTTCTTTCCTCCCCTGTTGGGAACCGTCAACAAGATGGATCAGCACAGTCACAGTAGCAATGTATCGAGGAGGATGAGGGTAGACAGGGTTCACACCGCTGTTCATAGGGTCGCCCTGAGTTGGCACCTTACGACAACGGGGAGAAGTGCCTTCAGGAATCCTGTGTTTCACTGAAGGACAGTTGTTGTTCCCCACAACAGTGTTCTCTTCAGTTTCTCGTCTCTGCAGTTTGTGTGCCGCTTAGGAGCCCCACGTTTTGCTTTTCTCATTCTTGCATCATGTTTTAGTTATGATAACATAAATGTTAGGTAACAAGTTACACAAATGATTGGCTTTAGGGAAAATAATAAATATTTTCTCACTATTCAAGAGGCTAGAAAGTCAGAATTCAGTGCCTCGTTCTAGGGGGCCAGCCCTTCCTGTCCATCTTAGATGCTAGTAACCCTTGTTCATGTCCTTTCTGGGTTGTTTGTCGTCATCATCGTCGTCATCGCTGATCCTCTGGCAGGTTTTCAGAGGCACTTAATCACATGGGAGGATATTGCCCATCCTTCTCTCGTAGAGCGACTGGTGGATTCGAACCGTGTGCCTTTGGGATTGCAGCGCAGCTTCTTGGCACTAGGCCATCAATGCTCCCTATGACCAAGGTATGTGAGAAGGCGTTTCACCACTCTTGCCTCTAAGGAGCACCTTGATTGTACTTCCTCCAGGATGGACGTCTTTGTTTTTCTGACGGTCAATAAGATACTCAGTACTCTTCCCCATCACTACAACTCACAGGTGTCGATTCTTCTTCTGTTGTCCTTATTCATCATATAACTTTCAGATAGATGCCAAGGGAGCAACTAAAAAGAACCTGGCTTGGATCAGGTGCACCTTAGTCTTTAAGCTGACATTGTTGCTCCTTAGCACTTTGGAGAGGTCCTTGACACCTGTTTTTCCCAATGCAACAAATCTCTTGATTGCTTGATTTTATGTGGTGGTGGTGTTAGGTGCTACCAAGTTGACTAGAAATCACAGCAGCCCTATGAACAGTGGATCTCAACTCCCTATCATGCCTTTTTCATCTCGGCCACACTTGAGCCCCTTGTTACAGTCACCATCAGTACAGCTTATTTAAGACCTTCCTCTCCTTCACTGCCCCTCTCCTATTCTGAGAGTGATGTCCTTTTCCAAGGACTTGCCCCTCCTAACAACATGCCCAAGTTTATGCATCCCTCCCTTCAAGGAACCTGCTGGCTGTACCCTCTCTAAGATACACAGGGAATTTGTATGTATGGGGGCACTCAGTATACACTTGCTTATATTTTTAGACTGTCTTTACACTCACTCTTGATTGTTGCTGGCCAAACTATCTATGCTCATTATTTTTGCTTTAAAAAAAAAGTATAAAGACTTCAAACCAAACCCTGAACCCCTTTAAAGAACAATAAAACATATTTTACATGCTAAAAAACAAAGTATAAAATTCAATCAAAGATTTCTCCCAAACGCATGGAGGTTTTTGTTGGGTTTTTCCCACCCAAAATAGTTACTGAGTGTATTCCAATAATGTTAAATTCAAGGTAAAATTTTGTCTGACAGTTTTCTAAAGCCTATAATTGTTTTCCTCTTAAAAGTAGATAGATAAGGGAGCTCTGGTGGCCTAGTGGCACGAAGCTGCACTGCAATCCCGAAGGCACGCAGTTCAAATCCACCAGATGCTCTATCAGAGAAGGATGGGCAATCTCCTCCTATACCAGTTGGATCCTACTTGATGGCACACAACAAGAGAAAATAAAATAGGGGAAGAGGAGAATGGAATGTAAAAACAAGTGAAGGGGGAAAAATCACTAGGATAACATGTTAGTAGATGGAGGAAGATGAAGGGATAGGAAAGATTCAATGAGGACTGGAAGAGAAAATGTGATAATAGGCATAGATCAGTAATAATTGATTACATAAAGTACAATATATATAATGATTGTATAAAACAATGTATAGGATTGTAAGCAAACCTATAAATCAAGAATCAGTAGGTAATTCTATAAGAAAATAAGGCAAGTTTACAAAGCAGTTTAAGGGAATAATAAAAAAATACCTTTCTATTTCAAGATTGTTTCCAGAATTTTATTTTTTTTTTAAAGAGATGTATGATTAGGTTTTATTATCATGACAGGAGTCCAGACTGAAGGCTGCATAGTGAACTGGTGGGAGGAGGGACTGAATAATAATGAAAGAACAGAATTTTAATTTAAAGAGCAGGTCCTTGGATGCATTTAAACCTTTACTATTAGACTGAGAGATTAATAGCTAAAATATTGGAACACTATAAAAATTTTTAAGATCATAAAAATGTAGCAAAAATAGATTTGACTTACTAAAACTTTCAAAATGTTTTGCTACAGTGAACAATTTGCTTAAATGCAAATGTAAGGGTGAGAAAAATAAAATCAAGACTCCGTCAAGAACATGATCAAGTTGTTAATCTGTTTGGGGTTTTTAATACCTTAATAAAACAAAGAGTTTTGCTGTAGGCTGAGCCAGTATTTTCTGCTGGACCTTACCTCTTACCTGATTCCCTGTATAAAGCATGAAAACGGAAGGAGAGAAGACATTGACAAGTCAGCACGTTAGGGGTTTGTGAGAGCTCCTAAGCTTGGACGCTGCTGCCCAGCATTAGCCGTTAACCCTTCTCACCTCCACATTCCGTGTTCTCCAAGCTTCTCATCCGGCCTGCCCTGAGCACGGAGGCCGAGGTTCGAGGCCCACACTCTCAGGTCTGCACTCACAAACTTATGTCAAAGTGGAAAAGGCAGATAAGCAAATCGGGCATACATAGGGCTGCGAAGGAGTATGGGAGGCTTACAGAGAAGGCACGTCCAAATGACACGAGCAGTCTGGGAAGCCTCGCCAGAGAAAGTGACACAGGATTTGAAGAAAGAGTGGGCATTCGGCTCAGGAATTAGAGATAGTGGTAATGGTGACTTATTATTGACGCAGGTATTACAGATAGCGTGGTAAAGCTGTGGGGAAAGGTTCACGAACAAAAAAAGAGGAGCTTGGGAGGAGTTAGTAAACCAAGTCAAAGATTTTAACACTTTGAATCCCCCAAAGACTTAAACAGGGAGGTATTGTAAACAGGTTTAGGTTTTAGAAAGATTTCTGAAGATGGCAGAAACTGGAATGGAAAGTTAGCTTAAAGGTTGAAAGGCAGTTCCACTGCTGGGAATGTATCCTAATGAAACCCTATCGGCCATCCAAGCAGATATATGCACACCCATGTTTATTGCTGCTTTGTTCACAATAGCAAAGAATTGGAAACAACCCAAGTGCCCA